TTTTTTTTTTTTTTTTTTTCACATCGTAGAGTATGTTTGTAAATTAGCCCTTTGTATTTTTTAGAAGGTATTATTTCAACAAAAAGTTGGCCTGATAGAAATCCACTACTGTTCCCCATTCCTAATGAGACCCAACATTTGAACGGGCCGTAAATCAAACCCATCATTTTTGGGCCGCGTTAGTTTGTCCAATTACGCTTCTCATACAACCAAACTTGTGCAACCGCAAACTCTCCATTTCCAAAGCTGACACAAAAACACCAGTGAGAATGGAGAATATAAGCGTGCTAATGACCTGCCCAATGTCCGCTTACCTCGAGGAGGAGCTCGAGAAGCGGTTCACGCTCCTCAAACCCTGGGAAGCCCCTTCCAGAGCCGAATTCCTGAACCGACGCGCTGGCTCGATCCGGGCCGTGGTGGGCAACGCCAAGCTGGGCGCCGACTCGGAGCTGATCGACTCGCTCCCGCGCCTCGAGATCGTGGCGACCTACAGCGTGGGCCTGGACAAGATCGACCTCGACAGGTGCAGAGAAAAGGGAATTAGGGTTACCAACACGCCGGATGTGCTGACGGACGATGTGGCCGACGTGGCCATTGGGCTGGCGCTGGCCTTGTCGAGGAGGATTTGCGCCGCCGACGGGTTCGTGAGGGGCGGATTGTGGAGAAATGGGGGTTTTCAGCTGGCTACCAAGGTATGTGATTTGAACGTTATATGCTTTCAAATATATGAGATATTATTTGTTCTAGGGTGATTGGATTTGGATGCAACTTATTTTGATTTTGATTAGAGTTGTTGGTTAACTGAAATTAACTTTTAAGAAGTTAGATTGATTTAAGTTTGAGTAGTCTAAATCTATATGAAAATAATATTTAAAATATAATGAATAAAATTGATCTAATATAAAAGAAGGATAGATCATTGAAAGTTATTATTAGTTAAAATTATGTGAGTCGATGAATAGTGAATTAAAAGTTAAAGTTGTTAGTAGTTAAAATTATGAAAGTGGATGAATAGTGAATTAAAGTTGATGTGATGTGCGTTGATGATTGATTAATGTTATTTAACTATATTGATAACATTGAGTAGAGTTGAATTGAGTTAAATTTGAGTTTAAAGAAAATATGGTCAAAAGTGACCAATATTTTATAGACAATCAGGGCCTAAATCGTTCAAATACTTTGTTCATTTATAAAAGGAAACAAGTTAAAGCAGACTTGACCAACGGGCCAGGCCTGCGTGTTCCGAGCCCGACCAACAGTCTAGGAATTCGTGTCTTTTTTTCAATCTCACGAACAATACCTAAGAATAACATTAGTTGGGTTGTCTGGCCTTATAACGTGGAATTCGAGGATAAAATACAGTTTAAGTTTCAAAAACCGGCTGGCCGAATCCAGCTGGGAGCTGACCAAAATTATTATTATTTTTTAAATCTATAATTTGATTTTCTTTTCGAGCGGGGGAGGATAATAAAAGAAATTGACTTGAGTTGAGTTAAAATATTGTAGATTATAATATGATATTTTCCACTTGTAATATTTCAATTAAGTTGTGTACTTATCTCTTAAAGTCATGTTCTTTCTCATTACTATTTCCCCAACAAAGGACTGCTTACCTCACTTACCTTTGCGAATGGAATGAGTGATGGTGGCTTGATGTGTCCAACATTCAGTCGCTGTCATTGTTATCGGGCCTAGTTCCATTAGTAGTACTAAAAGTCAAATCATTCAGCTTTACATCATCATCAACTCTCATGAGTCTTTGTGTTCGTCTTTCTGCATTTTCTTAATCGTTGAGCAACATTTGAACCTCTAAGTTCAGTGGTGCTAATCTCGATCGTGGTGGATCAGGAGTGTATCTTCCCGCACTATTGAGGTCTAAGACAATGAAGATCTTTTTGGCAGCAAATTGAAATAGGATACACAATCGTTATTTTTGGGAGTTGTTGGGTATGTGTTCTGGCCACCTTAAGCAAAGTTTAAGGAGTGACTGAGTTGTTGATACCTTTTTGAGTTACTCTTGGTATCAACGCTCGCACAACTTGAGATATATACATCTTGGTGAATATTGGTAAACACTGAGCGTGCGGCGAGCTGAGGCGACAAGGTTCCAATTTGCCATGGCGTGAGGCATGCTGCGAGACACTCGCCTTATGAAAGAGGCTAGCTATTATACAAAAAATAGAAATACATGTACATGTGACATTTTACCAAATTATGACACAATTATGTATACAAAAACAAATTACAACAGCAAATAAACATGCAATAAAACACCACACATTAATCTTCCTGATGTTGTTTGGAAAGATTGACCAAGTCATGGGTCAAAGGAAGAAGACAAAGCAGCGCATTCCTCGAGCAGGAGCTGGAATGAAAAGCCCGATTCTTACTTCTTTAAGCTTCTACAGGAGCGAATTCTTGTCTTTAACCTTGAATCCCGGAACACCTACCCAATTTGGAAATCTGAACTTCTGATTGATTTCGCTTGACGAGCGCTTTCTACCATTCTTCCTCCCGTATCCTCCGGAGGTCTGGAACCGTTAACTGGCTTGTGTAATTGGAACTGACTGAAAGGACTGCGAAGGAATGAAAACAACATTAACAAACTAGAAATAAAAATAGCAAATAGCATCCATGTCTAACACAAAATAAACAAAAGCAACATGACCACTAAATAAAACAACTTGAACCATAGTTCCAACAAAATCAACATGACCACTAAATAAAACAACTTGAACCATAGTTCCAACAAAATCAACATGACCAATAAAGAAACAACTTGATCCATAGTTTCACGGCAAATACTAATCAAAGGGAAGTTCTTGCACCGCGACATCATCATCCAACTGATATCCATCAACATCCTCTTCTTCGGCATCATCATCGTAGCTAATAAGATCATCATCCCATTCATAATCCTTATCGACAAGCCCAAATGATGATGATAATGCTTTAGAAGCAAGCTCTTTTAAAGGTTGATCTAGTCATATTCCTCGGCTACTCAACACCAGCGGCCGTAGCAACGTCATCCTAAGTCAAATCATCGTTTTGAAGCCATAATCTTCCTCTCTAGCACCCACCAACATTCACTAATTTCATCAATGTCTTTCAATGAAATAAGATCAATTTTTCCCCGCGTCATCAAGTGCATCAAGTACCGGCGTTGCAATGCCCTATTGTACTTAATAAAAACAAAATCATTAAGCCGCTTATGATCCAATTTGTTTCTTTTCTTTGAATGAATCTGTCAAATAATAATTTTCACATTATTATTGTCAAATAATTTTCATAATAGCCATATAAAAAATGGGGTTAATAAAAAACTCATGTGCTAAAAAAACACTCGAGTTCCCTCACATCTGGACGAGCTACAAGTTAAGTTCAACACCTTGATAGCAAATTTTTGCAAATTAGGTGTATCAGATCCATACGCAACCCACCAATTTATGGGTGTCCTTATAGCTCTTTGCCAACCGCCATATGCAAATCGAAGAGATCCTCACCATTTATATATTTGTCAAAGTCATTGCAAATTAGATCTTGTGTAGTAATACTTGGAACCAACCTTTGTATGGAATCGTTCAAGCCTCTATAGATCTCAAAAGACGTGACACAACACTCCAGACCTTTGTAAAAGAACTTCATATTCAAGAAAAATCCAACGACATGCAAAGGTCGATGCAATTGAACATTCCACTTACGATCGATTATATTGTACACCTCTTTTTACTTCCTTTAGGCAGCTTGAAATGCGGCCGCAATAACTTCCTTAGCCTTATCCATCGCCTCATAAATATAGCGCATCAGGGGTCTTTTCTCACCATTTACAATCCGAAGCACACCAACAAGAGGAGAAACAAACTTCAAAGAAATCATCACATTGTTCCAAAATGATGATTGTTCCAAAATAATGTCATTATCATGATCTTGGCGACCTTACCTTATTCCTCCTTTGCCCATTTGTTTTTAGTCCAATCGTCGGACACAAATATTTTTCCCAAATTGGCCTCTTAAATTGGAAATCTTTGCAAAGTTAAAAACACTGTTGAAAAACAAATTTTTCGTCGACTTCACCAAATCTCTTTTTCGCTCGCATCATGTTCAACTAAGTGAGAAGATTATAGATGTAGTCATGCACTCGAATAGCCCTCTATGTCTTTTGAAGATGCAAAATTTAAAATATATCTTCTAACATCAAGTCGGGGCAATATGCGGCACAAGGACTTCAAAATAAATGTAGATACTTCCAATGAACGACCAATTTGTTTGTCGCCGCACTATCAGTCACAATTTGAACCATTTTCTCCAAGTAACATGATGTAAGTCTCCAACAAGTCTTGATTTCTCCGTGCATCTGTTGCATAACTCGATGCATCAGTGGAGTCAAGGAACACGGTTCAAAGAGGAGAGTTAGCAAAAACATTGATCAAAGTCTTGTTTTGTCGATCAGTCCACCCGTCACACATCTACGTGTACCCATATTGTGCTCTTGATTGAGCATGATCGTCCATCATCTTCATCACGTGTTATTTCTCATTCTTAAACAATGGGGCTCTTCCTTGATAGTACGTTGGCGACGCTAACTAGGAACCATAATTTCCCATGGCCTCATTATAGGTCCAAAAGTCTAACAATTGACCACATTAAGAGGGATCGCGACTTCGTATAAAAATCATACAATTTTTTCATAAGTTTTTTCTTCAACTCTTCTCGATAGGGCACATTTTCACTATTCTTGTTTTCTTTCCTTTGCTTTTTCAGCTTTCCACGTCAACTTCGGCACCAGGTGTAAAATAGCAGTCAATAACCCCTTTTGTTTTGCCTATTGAATTGAAATTGAGTTTCTTAATGTTGCTACATTGAGTGAATGCGGAGGGTGATAAATGTCTTAAGGCCATGAATTTGGGATCAATCTCTTCTTCCTTGACCTCGTAATCATCAAATCAATCGCTTCATCAATGTTTACACATTTTCTGTGCTCTATTTTTCTATCATGTCCATGAACTCTTTTACTTATTCACGAACTTCCGCCGAATGTGTACGGCATTTGTAAAGCCTCCAATCCAATGTTGCTTAATTCTCGAGACTCCGCCTTTGTACATGATTCCACAAAAATTACAAGTAAATGCATGTATATTTATGGGATCCCTCACCGAATACTTCCAGGCAATGTCCTTTTTATTATTGCCCACCAATTATTTAACAACAAAATAAAATAAAAAGTATATTGAAATAAGCATGATTAGCTAATAAGCATAATTATTACATGTTTTGGACAGTAATAAAAAGGACATTGCTTGGAAGTATTAGATGAGGGATGACACGAATATATACATGCATTTACTTACAATTTTTGTGGAATCATGTACAAAGGTGCAGTCTCGAGAATGAAACAACATTGTGTTGGTGGCTTTCCAAATGTCGTACGATGTCTGAAATGTTCGGTGAAAGTTAGTGAAGAAGTAGAAGGGTTCAAGGAAATAAAAAAAACGGAGCAAAAAAAATGTGTAGACATTGATGAGGCGGTTGATTTTGATGGTTACGAGGAAGAATAGATTAATCCCAAGTTCATGGCCCCAAGGCATCTATCTGCCGCATCCACTCAATGTAGCAACATGAATAAGACTCAATTTCAGTTCAAGAGGTCAAAATAATGGGGGCTATTGAATGCTATTTTACACTCGATGCCGAAGTTGTCGTGGAAAGTCGAAAGAGCAAAGGAAGGTAAACAAGAATAAATGAAAATGCGCTCTATTGAGAAGAGTTAGAAGAAGAGAGCTTATGAAAAAACTGTAAGATTCTTATTAGAAGATGCGATCCCTTTTAATGTGCTTAAATTGTCCGGCTTTTGGGTCTTATGATTGAGGCCATTGGAAATTATGGTTCCGGGTTACCTCCGCCGACGCACTATCAAGTAAGAGGCCCGTTGCTTAAGAATGAGAAAGAACATGTACATGCAGATGAGAGACGATCATGCTCAATCGAGAGCACAATACGGGTACACGTTAGATGAGTGATGGATGGATCGATGGGCGGAAACGGACTTTCGTCAACTTTTTGGCGAACTCTCCTCTTGGCACCGTGTTCCTTGACTCCATTGATGCATCAAGTTATGCAAAGGATGCACGGAGAATTCAAGATTTGTTGGAGACTTACATCTTGTTACTTGGAGAAAATAATGTGGTTCAAATTGTGATCGGTAGTGCGGCGACATGCAAATTGGTCGAGCATAAGTACCCACATTTATTTTGGAGTCTTTGCCGCACATTGCCTCGATTTGATGTTGGAAAATATATTTAACATTCCACATCTTCAGAAGACATATATATGATAGGGCTACTCGAGTGCATGGCTACATCTACAATCGTCCCAGTTTGTTGAACATGATGCAACATTTTACGCAAAGAAGAGATTTGATGAAGCCGGAAAACCATTTTGCATTGAGATCATGATGATGACATCATATTGGAACAATGTGACGATTGCTTTGAAGTTTGCTTCTCCTCCTGTTGGTGTGCTTTGGATTTTAGATGGTGAGGAAAGACCACCGATGGACTATATTTATGAGGCGATTGATAGGGCTAAAGACGCTAATGCGGCCGCATTTCAAGGTGTCTAAAGCAAGAATAAAGAGGTGTATGATATAATTGATTGGAGGTGGAATGCTCAATTGCATCGACCTTTATGCCACGTGTTTTTCCTGGTGTGGCACTTCTTTTGATATCTATAGAGGCTTGTACGGAGGTTGGTTCCAAGTATTGCAATGCTAGATCTAAGTTGCAATGACTTAAACAAATATCAGAATGGCGAGGGTCTCTTCGATTTGCCTATGGCTTGGCAAAGAGCTTCAAGGACATCGGCTAATTGGTGAGCTGCGTATGGCTCTGATACACTTGATTTACAAAAATTTGCTATTAAGATGTTGAGCTTAACTTGTAGCTCGTCCGAATGTGAGAGGAATGAAGTGCTTTTTAGCACGTGAGTTTTTTATTCACCTCATTATTTATGTCTATTATGATATTTTTTTATTAATTTATTTTTAAATTATTATTTTGACCGATTCATTCGAAGAAAAGGAACAAAATGGATCATAAGCGACTTAATAGGGCATTGCAGCGCCAGTACTTGATGCAGGAAAAAACTGAACATTGATGAAAATAATGAATGGTTGATGGGTGCTAGAGAGAAAGTTTACGTTTTTCAAAATGATGATTTGACATGGGATGACGTTGCTACTGTTGCCGGTGTTGAGGATTCGAGGAATATGAGTAGATCAAACTTTAAGAAGTAGGCTTCTAAAGCATCATGATTTGGGCTTGTAGATGAGGATTGTTAATGGGATGATGAGGCTATGATGATGCCGAATAAGAGGATGTCGATGGATATCGGTCAGAGGATGATGTCGCGATCCAAGAACTTTCCCATGATTAGTACTACCTCCGATTTTTTTTAAATGTCATTTTAGTTTTATCAACAATTAATTAAATAAATATCGTTTTGAATTTTTTGTACATATTCTTCTTATTATTACCCTCATCTAGCTAATAAATACACTACGTCTTTTCATATTCACTCTTAATCTTTTACTCAAAACATTCATCTTTATACTCATTAACGAGGGTTATTATTGGCAACAAAAATATTCTTAATTATTGTGTAACTTCTCAAAACGACACTTATTAAAAATAGGAGGGAGTATTTGTCGTGAAACTAGAGATCTAGTTGTTTCTTTATTTGTCATGTTGCTTTTGTTGGAACTATGGATCTAGCTGTTTCTTTATTGGCATGTTGCTTTTGTTTATTTTGTATTGGACATGGATGCTACTTGCTATTTTTATTTCTAGTTTGTTTAATGTTGTTTTCATTTTAATGTGAGGTGTTTTATTGCATGTTTATTTGCTATTATAATTTGTTTTTATGTACATAATTTGGTAAAATGTTCGCCTTGCTTTCATAAGGTGGGTGCCTCGCCACATGCCGAACACCATGGCAAATTGGAGTCTTGTCGCCTTGGCTCGCAGCGAGCTATTTTAATCACTGATGTATCAGGGTCACTCAAATACAAATCTCTAAACCCCCTCCCCTCCCCATAATGACCACATTGAATAGTGGCCAGTTGAGTAGTAAGATAGTAGACACTCGATAGAACTTCGGTGCAAACATATAATGGGCACAACGACATCTTTCAAAGCTTAAAAACCCGCTTGAACACAAATATTAATAAAATGACAAGTATATCAAATAAAAAAAAATAAAAAAAAAAATTATTACCACAAAGAGGACGACAAACACGCATATTATAGGTGCTATTATTATCATAAGAAATTAACTTTTTTTACTAGTTTTAGAATCATTCTAACACATTTGTTTGTAAAATATAAGTAGCATCATCCCAACAAGTAGTTTCCACATAAAATGACCTGCCAATAATCGAGCCAAATATTACAACGAATAGAAATTAGAAATTCGGCTTAGTTATACAATTTCCCTCAGCACGGGCAATCTATTATATATCATGTGGTAAATCATTATATTAAAGGTGCTTGGTATTTATTTTCCTCTCCATTTGTAGTTTAGTGGCAAAGCTATCGGCATAGTCGGCCTGGGAAGAATTGGCTCAGCCATAGCCAAACGAGCCTCGGCATTTAACTGCACCATTAGCTACCACTCAAGAACCAAGAAACAGAACACAGACTACACTTTCTACCCAAACATACTCGACTTGGCTGCTAATTCCCAAATCCTAATCGTCTCGTGCGCCTTAACGGACGAGACAAGGCACATTGTCAACCGACAGGTCATAGACGCGTTGGGGCCCACAGGGATCCTTGTAAACATCGGGCGTGGCCAGCACATCGACGAGAAGGAACTCATTTGGGCCTTGCACGAGGGCCGGTTGGGTGGAGCCGGACTCGATGTCTTTGAGAACGAACCCAATGTGTCCAAGTCGTTGTTCGGGCTGGAGAATGTGGTTTTATTGCCTCATGTTGGGAGTGATAGTGTGGAAACTAGTAAGGCCATGGCTGACCTTGTTGTCTCGAATTTGGAGTCCCATTTTCTCGGTAAGCCGCTGTTGACACCTGTTGTTTGAGTAGTCGAATATAGCAACCGGTCCTAATTTTTATGGTGCAGGGGAATAAATCATTATCACTCTATTCTCTTATTCAGTTGAACTAAATTTAGTGTTACCAGATTTTGGTATTTTCTTGTAGATCAGTTGGCTTTACAGCTAATAACAGTTCATGTTTTCCTGATTTTGGTTTATGTCACATGACAATGGTAAATGGAAGGAAAGAGAACAAGCTAGAGACTTCAATCTCCAACATCATAGGAATTTAATATATTGTAGCCTTTTTTATTTTATTATTATGACTGTACTATCAATATTGGAAAAAGTAAATTATCTTTTTGGCCTTTTTGGCTAACAAGACAATTGGTGAAACTGAGTATTGATGTCCATCTCTTCCAATGCTATTACTGTAATACAGATTTGATCACTATTTCTTGAACCATGTTGGATATGGTTGTAAACGAATCGAATCAAAGCGAATATTAAGATATTTGATTTGGATTCATTAAAATATTCGATGATTTGAATCCGTATTCAATTTGTAAACGAACTTATTTTTTATTCGTGTTCGATTCGTTTAGAATATTAGAACATATTTTATTCGATACAAAATTAGTTTTCAAAAAAATATTAGTTACTAAAATATTGTTATGTTTTTCTTATCCAATTTGAGATGTTTCAAGGACAAATTATTAATTTGAGATGTTTTTACTTTTTATTTCATAAAAATAATAGGAATATAACAATATATTATATATATTATAAACAAAACTTGTAATATATATAATTTATAAATTTATATGATTAACCCTAACGAATCGAATTTCGATAATTTCGAATAGAATAACTACTAATTCGAATTTGTTTAGCTTTCGAATACAAATCATTATTCGTATTCGAATCATAACTATCAAATTTAAATATCTAATCGAATAAAAAAAATTGATTTGTTTACAAGTCTAATCCTGGACTCAGAAAGTAAAAACTATACAATCAAAGCTTGAAACAATACTCACCCTCAGCAATGCCTGATTTTTTTCTCATAGAGGCGTAATCAAGAGATTTGATATAGCAACTCACATTTGTTTTGCTGCTTATGAAATATATCGGTAATGCTCCCTTACCCATGGTGGGCACACATTGGTTATGTATTTTTTTGAACATATTAACATCACCAATGAGTGCATACCACATAAACGGTGGGCATATTAACATGTGTCCACCGTGCGAAGCGGCGTAGGGGAGCATTACTTCACATAAATTGCGTCATAAGATAAAGATTGTGAAATCATCCACGTTTTGCCCTTATTCACGAAAGGATAAAGCTGATGCTAACACACATAAAATTGTAAAACTAACAACAATACAAGGTCCTATAGATAATGCTGATCTTCTGAAAAAGACGAGCAAAATAAGAAGTAAATAACTAATACAGAAAAAAAAAAAAAAAAAAAAAA